TGCTTCACATTTCGGCTTCGGAGGTTTCTATCGGCTGTCTGCTGGCTCAGAACAACGAATCTGGGCGCGAGCAAGCGGTGCACTATCTAAGCCGCACCCTCAACACAGCCGAATTAAACTATTCGCCGATCGAAAAGTTATGCCTCGCGATTTATTTCGCGGCCACCAAGTTGCGGCATTATATGCTACCTTCGGTCGTTCAAATCATCTCCAAGACCGATCTCATCAAGTATATGCTTACTCGGCCGATCATACGCAGCCGAATTGGGAAGTGGACGATGGCACTGTCCGAGTTCACCTTTCAATACGTAGCTCAAAAATCGGTCAAGGGTCAGGCATTGGCCGATTTCCTAGCTCATCACCCGGCCCAGGGGCAAGAGGAGGAGTTGGAGGTCGAGATCGGTATGGCCCACATGGAAAAGAATCATTGGACCATGCACTTCGACGGCTCCAGCACTGAGGCCAGGTCAGGAGCCGGAGTGGTGATTGAATCTCCCCAAGGGCAAAAATGGCAGTTTGCATTCCAACTCGACTTCAGATGCACTAATAATCAGGCCGAGTACGAAGCGCTCATCATCGGTCTCGAGATTTTGAAGGAAATGAAGGCAACCCGTGTCTTGGTCCACGGTGATTCTCAGCTGGTGATTAACCAACTGACTGGGGAATACCAATGCACGAGCGAGAATTTGGCCATGTATTATGTGACGCCCCTCAACACGGCCGATGGATTCTCTAGAATTTCCTTTGTTCATGTACCGCGCGCCGAAAACGGCGAGGCCAACGAGATGGCCCAAGTAGCGTCAGGCGTGAACATCCCGAACACCGACCATGATCGCGTGATAAGGGTCGAGAGGCGTACCTTGCCGGCTTTGACCGAACGTGGAATGATAGCGCAAGTGTCTTCGGCCGATATCACCAACGAGATCGACACGGCCGAGGCCGACTGGCGCTACCCCATAGTGAAATATTTGCGTAACCCTTCTGGCAGCCATGAGAGGACTACACGTTTCCGAGCTC